GCCCCTTGCTGTTCTGGCTGCCATCTGTACTTCTGGACTGAGACCTTCTCTATCTGCCGGGGTGGAGCCCGGAACCCTAGTTAGGTCTCTCCTAAAAGCCCAGCACACACCTGTGCAATTAATGTACTGGTGGTTCTCAAAACACGAACCCAGGATTTGAGATTTCATTCTTGATAGATCACTACAAAATACCCAGGCTCCAGGTCCTAAAACTGGTTTTACCAACCAATGAGGAAACTGATAAGTCATTATTCTCTGAATGCCACAAGTTCCCTGGAGTCCCTCAACCTGCCTTGATGAGAATCTTGGGTCATAACCTTGTTTTACACCATGGCAGGGCACACCACTGCCACAAATGATATCTTCTTTATCATGAGCCATTTACAAAGATTGTCTACACATTCATTGCACAATTGCCAGATAATATGCCCCTACTTTAACTTAGCATTTGCTGACATTAGCTAGTTTGAATATTCACCCACATAGCTCTTGGTGTTATAAGGTTTTCAATTTGGGTGCTAGTGGGGGAACAACAGCACAGCGAGTGGGACTAGATACAGCAGGGCTTTAGAAATATGCCTTTATGTGTTATTTTGCTGTCAACTGTCACTGTCAATCTTACAATATAAAAGTAAAAATCAAGATGGTGATACTTTGCAGAAAGGCTTTGGTAGGATTGAGAACTCAAGGTGTGATATCTTAATAAATAACTCTTATAGGCACTAAAAATTAAATACTGGTCCATACATTCATGTATGAATATCTTTTATGCCTCTACAATGAAACACTAATAGATTGTTACCAGAAGCCTGATTTGTGAAAATTACTATTATTGAGCTCAGGCAGGGCTCGGTTGTGATTGCCCCCCCACTTAAGCAAGCATGCCTGTCAGGTGAATTAACATTGGTCACACTGCCAAGAGCTAATCTCCCTCCTCCCTGATATGGCATGACTGTAACTCCAACACCTAGAACCCTTGGTGCACCTCACTTTGTCCTTTCAAGCAGTGACAGGCTAAGCTGGATCCACCACTAGGTGATGCAGCATCATTGCTAGGATGTGGACAGTGGAGTGATATAGTATCATTTGTTTCTAAGGTGCAGGTGAATTGACTGCACAACATCATTGGTTGTTATAGTGTGAATGCACCTCTCTTGGAGAGTGCTTTTTTTTACTGGCAAGCTATCCTCTTTCCCTGCATGTGTAATGATGAGGCTTGTCTACGTCAAGGACCTGGTGCTAGGGACAAGCATCGTCAATTGGTGCTTATTACACATTTACACATTCGGCTCCTTTTTAGCTGCTTAAACAGCAGTAGGGGGAGGGTGGTGTGCTGTTAACCACACTTATTCAGAATCGAGATTACATAAAAAGATGTGACATACCCTCTGGTATACAGGAGTAATTAGCAGAGAGTTAGGAGAGACTTCTTCTTTAACATTCCTAATATTCAGATGGTAACTTTGTAAATCTTGGCTTCCATGAATTCACAAAATATCCCCTAAACTGCCCTTTCTGCTGAACCTTTGCTTGACAAAGAGTTTTAAGTCCGCAGTTAGCACAAAATTGTTTGACTTTCAATGGCTTAATAGTCTAGGGAATTGCAACCCCTGCCATTTGTCACTGAGGAGATTTCCACAATATTCGAAAAAGCTTTATAGGATGATTCCTTCACACTGCAGAGCTGCCATTTCATGTTGCTGAACAGTCAAATAAATTTTCTTGGCATTTTATAGGACATTTATTTGGTTTGTTACAGACAGAGTGAGAAATCTACAACATATATAACCTGTATAATGTGATATAATGTTTCTTTGGCCAACTTATAAAACAGGCTCTTATCCTGTCAAATATTGTATTACTTGACGTGACATCTGCAATGTTATAGCTTGTGCTTCACACGGGTCTTAATAATCAGATATGTATAGTTAACAATGAGAAGAGTCACTCCAGAGATTACCCATCACACTTCAGCAGAAGTATTCATAATATGTTTTATTGTGTGCTACAGAGATTTCTAAAAAGATCCAATAATCACATTTTATCTATGCAGTTATTTGCAATGGTCACAGAAACTTTTTCCACAAGCAATATATTTAGGGTATTAATCTGCCTGGAAGAATTACCAACTCTGCTATGATAGTAGATAAAAGCAGTATGCTAAAATAATTGCATACAATATGTATGGTATAGTAGATAGATAGAAAGACGCATCACCTGAAAAAAAAAATGTCTTAACCACTTAAAGACCAGACTTTCTTTTAGCAATTTTTGTATATCTAATGCCATTCTTTTTTTCTTTTTTTTTTTGGATAGGATAGGGGATATTTGAAGTGTATTTCCACCTTTGAAGCCAAATTGGGATAACACCAACTTTATATTTTTTAAATGTTTCCATTCACACGGAAAAACTTTAAAAAAAATTATTTGCTGTTGACCTTTCTACTTTATGAAAAATCTTATAACAATATTATAAAAGATCTTAGCTTTCTTGTTCATTGTAATGTTGAGGAAAACAAAACAGTCCCTAAAATGCCCCTGTGGTGTATTGTTCAGCAAGGTATCCTGAACAAGTTGCCTTTGTATGAATCTGCTGAAAAGAAACAAAGAAGGAAAGACATTTAAAGATTTTTAGATATACTACATGAAAGGGAACACAAAACAAACATATAGTGAGGGGTTTCTCTAATTTGGCTGAAAAGGCGGAAAACAGCTTTTGATGTAATGGCCACCTTTAATCTGAAGCTGTCCCCTGCAGTAATTCCTTTTCTTCATGTCCTTAACATCATTCAGCCCGTCCCCTGGGGTTATTTCATCACTGCAGCCTGGGCTCATTGTACTATTGCACCATGCAGCACTCACATGTCATTATGTGAGGGCTGCTCGGTACAGGAGTAAGGGCCAAAAACCAAAAACCCAGCCAGACAAAAAAGAAGGACCTGCCATCCTCATGCTTTTTTTAAAACTAGCTGCAGTGGGGACCTCATGAAGGGGATAGATGAGTTATGGCAAACATGAAGTTTTTTGCCAGAAAACAACTGCTGCAAATGTTACTGCAGAGCTCAATCTCAATCTTCACAGGACTAAGACTGAGCTCTGCAGTCACTTTTGCAGCAGTTGTTTTCTTGTTCTGGGTCACAATCCTGCGCAATGTCCTTTTATCTCTTTGGTCAGTGGACCATGTCGACCGCACTTCTGCTTATCCAACAATTTTCCAGAGACTATAAATGCTGTCATAACCTTTAATACTATACCTCGCAACACTGCAAATAAATTGGCAACTTCAGTCACAGAGGCACCAGCTAAGTGGGCACCAAAAATCTGCCCTCTATAAAAGCTCAGTAACCTCTGACACGACTCTGTATTGCTAGCAGCAGATGCAGTGAATGGTAAAAGTGAGGCTTCCCACCTGTTAGCTAGGTGTCTCATCACACAGCAGAAGCAAAAGATTGTTGCATCACTTCTGCTTTCCACGCAAAACATGTTGTCACATTCACACCTGCAAATCATGTAGTATTTCCATATTTTTGTCAAACCCCTGTAAATACATCAGCAACATATCTTTTAAAACGTTACACTTCACTTTTCCTAAGGAAGAAATGATCTATAAAAGTATCACATCACACCTTCTACGAATACTACACATATATGATGACAAAACAATTTAAAAAAATCCTTTATCTGAACAATTCCATAAAGCTCAGTACTCTGGATGTACAGTACTTTCCAAGTTTTGTTTTTGCAAAGCATCGATTAATACATTGTGCTGAACTTTTGTAAATTAAACTAAAGATTCTCTGTTCACAAACTGAGCTTTACTTGATTCATAATTCAGTGTCTTCAGTAACATAAAACTGTACATATATCCAGGTATGTATATTTGCACAAAGTTGGATATACAGTACGTATTTTGTTATACATAAAATTCACCGTTTGCATACGGGTTTCACTTGGTAAAATAAGCAATAAAAATGTGCTCACTCCTACATGCAGTGGTAAATAGCAAAGTAGAAAAACTCTGCTCTGTCTAATAGCATGACCTAGAATATGTAAATCCATAAACCTGCTACACCCAAGTGCAATATGAGGTGGCGAGAGGTAAGTGAAAACAAAGATCCATGGGCTGGAGCTTAAAGAAAATGTTTCTCTTGACTGCCTTGTTTGAATTAAAGTTCATTTGACTGCTCTTCACCTCGCTTTCCACTTTAGTAAGTCAGGACTTAACATTGTATTGTGTTTAGTTAAGTATCATGGTAATTGTTCATCTAAACTGTTGTTTTCATGTAAATGTTGATTTTGTGATAGCCCTTTACATAAGTCTTTGTTATGGATATTTAGGGCAAGTCCTATAATACATTTACAGCACAAGGTATAAAAATAGCTTTGCTTAAATTGAGAAATCTAGGTCATCCCATTGAAGCACATTGACATGCATGAATAAATACTGAATGCCACTGTGTTTTCCTATCTGTCCTTTTGGTTTCTTTCTATTTATAAGCACAGAGTAAACAAATACTTTCCATGTGCCTATACTGTTTTGCATGTACATTCAGCTGTGCTTAATATTATGTAATAATGCTTTGTTGAGCCATTGACATTGACAAGCTATATTTTTGGAAATGTCAGTTCAGAAACACAAGTAACCTTTTGCATAGTAAATAAAATATGGTCTATGTAGGCATATGGCAAACATGGTAAACAAAATACATCTGCTACATTTGTTCATATCATTTTGTTCTTTTACATCTTCATATAGATCATAATTTAGCTCCCAGACAGATAAATGAATGAAAGGCAATGGCTTTGTTCTCCTGATAGGAGTGAAGTAAACAGGAATGAATGACAAAGCTGTCAGTTGCTGTCACTCAGTGCTGAAAAGGGGTCCCCCTCTAACAACTCAGCTTGGTTTATAGTGGCAATATAACATCTGCAAGCTCGTTCACATCCACTGACACCTCTTCCAGGCTTGGTTCTTTGGGCATGTTGATTGGCTGGCCTAGAATAACATAAATCCCATGTAAGCACATAAGACTAAGCTGTGCATGTATCAATCAGGGCAGGGGTGGACTGACAACTCATGGGGCCCCCGGGCAATAGGGGATCATGGGGCCCCTGTGTCCTTGCCCAAACTCATAAAAGCCTATGAAAAAGGTATCAGGGGCATCTCATGGGGCCCCTTACTGACCCCAGGCCCTTGGGCAGTGCCCGAGTTTCCAAATGGTCAGTCTGCCCCTGGATTAGTGTATCAATCAGTGCTCCTGCAATAAAAACCAACTTCTGAGCAATTTCTTTCTACTTCAAAGTTTGATTTTAATGGTAGCCCCACCTTCCCTAAAGAGAGATTAGGGAAGCGCATTAGCTGTGTTTAGGTTCCAAATAACTCCCAGGTTGGTGAATCAGATAAGCTGAGGCACAAGGGAAGGGATTTGGAAGTATAACAAAAGTACTTGCTGGTACCTTGTGATGCATGCACAGGTAACAGTGTTTTTTCTTGTTAGTTTTTGTTTGTTTGTTTGATTGTTTGAAAAATTGTGAAGGACATGCAGGTTCTTTCCATGGAGCTCCTGTGAAGTGGAATACGTCTATTTCTGAAACATCAAGTTTCCTTTACATTTATTTTTAAAAATTAGCCTTTAACTTTGCCACATAGCACTGCTAGGTGCAATTTGCTTGGATTTTTTTATTAGCCAAACATTATGACCTTTGTTAATTAATATAGGTTTAGTGTTAGGGTTATTGTCCATCTTTGTTCCTTATCTCACCTTAACTTCTTGATGCCGACTGTACGCAAATATGCAGCCTCTCGGTGGCTGGGCTTTGACACTGAGCAGACGCATATTTGCATATCATTTGAATACACGTATGTGCTGAGAGTGACCTCCCTGTGTGCTCCCAGCACATATGTCAGTGTCTCACGGAAAGGTCCCGATCTCCCCTTGCAATTGGGACCTTTTCCAATCATGTGACCACAGTGACAGCAAATCACAGCGGTCACATGACCCTGAAACCCCGCTCCACCTCCCAGCATCTGAAACCCCTTAAAGGGCCGGGAGGCGCTGGAGTGAAGAGGTTAAAGTGGTCGTAAACCCTTACATATACCCTGTGAAATGACTGGCCTCAGGTGATACACATAGATGAAACAAATCCTCCTACATAATTTGTACATGTGTATCTGCTGTCCTCTCTTCTCTAAAGCCATTCAAAGTGCTGAATTTATAAAGCTTGTCTGAGAGATAAAAAGAGGGGGTGAAGCTATACTCTGCAGAGCTCACTGAGGAGAGCTCTAAGAACTGATTGGAGAAAAGAGACACACACCCTTCCACACAGCTCACAAGAACAGAGCTGAGGATGTTGATCTGCTTGAGCTCCCTCCCCATCACCATTTTTCTCTTGGTGTCATGAAAACTTGTCAGAAGTGATTCATGCTGAAAAAAGAGAAACAAAGCAGCAGACAGAAATTATACTTAGTGCTCTTAATTGAGACAAGTGCACACTATAGAGGAACATGTCTTATTCATATTTCATGTCTGATGTTTACAACAATGTTTGTACAACAGATGCAGGACAGTTGAAAGGAGCTTCCCTGACCCCTTGAAGCTAGTTTAAGGTCTTTACACCCTTAGAAACCACCATACTATATTAATTTCTCTATTGCTTCTAATGCATGTTGCCATATAACAACATTTTACAAAAATGTTCACAAGCCAATTAAATCTGATTAACACCTATTTTGTATTCCCAACTACCATGGGTATAACCTCTTGACTAGTGAGTGTGACTAATATAGTTACAACTAGAAATCTAAATTTTAAATGTTTGTTTGTATGAAGATATTTTAGCCCAGGTTTTTTCTACCATTTTTTTATACCATTTTTTAGATGACAAGGCATTTTAACAATCATTTGCAAATGTGATTATTGCCCTAATTATATTAACATAAAAGCTTTTTGTTTGATTCTTTTTATAGATAGCAAGCCGAATAAAGCAATTTATGCTGTTGACTAAAAGTTAATGGCCATAACTATTAAAATCTCATATCTCACATTGAATCAATAAAGGCATTTCTGTATAAAAATGTATTCTTGTCACTTCCACCCCATGCAGCAAAATGCAGACCTGTCTTGGTGAACACATTTGATAATTACAACTACACATTTTGTTTTGCTTCATCACACTTAACTATAGGCAGCTCAAATTGAACCAGCAGAATAAAAAAAAGCAGCACAGTATCTTCCATCTGTTTTTAATTAAAAACTGGATATGTCGCCTACTGTTTTCTCTAAATTCTGTTTGCAAACAGTAGGAGGAAACTTTTCAATTACTTACACTGGGTTCCCATTTGCCTGCTCAAGTGGAAAGCACATTATAGAACACCCCTAAAAATAGTGATTTTCTTCAGTATGAATGCAGAGCAGAATGCTACCAATACCGATATGGTCATTTATGATGTTGTCCACTGATTAAATTATAGTTAAACCCAAGAACAAATATGTGGTATATTCCTGCTTACCAGTCTGTGGTGGTGGTGGCTGCATGTGTTTTTTTTTTTCTTTTTTTCTTATAGGCAAACAATATTTTCATCAAGTATATATACTGTACACACACACACACATATATATATATATATATATATATATATATATATATATATATATATGTTGGTCTTGCCTGAAATGTGTTGTCAATGTGGCTTTCTATGAGATGATCTAGAAGCATAAAACAGTTGTATCTTTCTTCCATAAACCAGTAATCTCATTACACCTTTAATAGAATGGGTTTAACAGAATTATCAGACAGGAAGAGCCTGTAACATTACTAAATAGCAAAAATGCAAACCACACTCAGAATGGCAAAAAACATGAATACACTAAAGGATCTAAAAAACAGCCTGATTATAATAGCTACAGAAATATGGACTCTTCAAAGGCTCAGTCAGTGTAATGTGGCTGCAAAGCATAGTCTCTGTAAGACTATACAACAACAGGTTGTCTAGCTGAGAATCATTAATTCAGTAAAACAGGTCATAACACAAACATTTATTTGTGATCTTAATATAATAATGATAATAATAATAATAATAATAATATTAATAATAATGATAATAATGTAAAAGCATCCCTCTCAGTAAAGTACAGAGTGTGTTTGCTAACAAAGGAAAATACCAGTTGGAAGTGGAGTACTCTGGTATTAAATGAGGAGTGGTAGTTGGGTCTTCCAAAGAAGCTTCCTGCTATTAGGTTCCTGCTCAGTTGCCCATATGCTGGCAGCAAAGGACTGCTCACCTTGCTGCAGATTACTTTCCCAGCTACCTCTGCCTCATCAAGTGGGGCCTCTCTGATCTGCTGAGGGAGGAAAGCTGAAGCTTTTATACCTCCTGAGCATTTCCAGGAAGCCAAGGAGTTGTGGGAAATGGAGTTAAAAGGGCTTGTGACTGCATCTAAGCATAGTGTGTAAATGGGAACTCTGCTACACCCTCGTGTAATGGAGATATGTTTCAAGCCAAGTCTGGGTAAGGGTGATGCCACCTCCATAGATAAACCATAGATAGGTAACCACCAATGAAAAGGAAGTGCCTTTTTCACAGGATCAGAAGGTGAAATAATAGGGAAAAAAGGCATAAAAAAAAGATGAATGCAGCCACCCCATCTAAGGATTGATAAGCTAAAATACATTTGGGGGGGGGGTTCGAAAACACTTCCTATAAAAACTGTACAGCTTTATTTTTTATTTATGTATTTATTTGGAAGGCTGTTTGAAAACTTAAACAGACTTTCTTTCAGTAAGCACTGATTACAAAGTATACATACTTTGAGACATGCGATCCTCATGTCTCAATTTCTCAATTATTCAGTTCTTTGCCTAGAAACGTTGAGCCTCTAGTTTTCAACTTTTTGCTTTATTTTTTTTTTTTTTCACTCTCTGTCAAAAAACTGCATAACAAACAAAGTGGTAGGCACAGTAACCCTGACCATTAAAATATGCATTTGGATTGCTGCTACGTTGTACACTGTACTTTGCTATTTTTCATGCTTATGTAATAAGCCTGTATATTTATATATTTATTTTAGGACCTTTCCAATTTTAAATGCTGCTGACTAGTACGTTATTGTTTAACAACATTTTTTTTTTTCCATTTTCCATGTCCCTATCTATTTGCAGCAAGACTTTTCCCCTTCAGTCTTTGTCATCATAGGGGTTTTCCTCTATGTCTCTGTGGGAGTGGATTATCTTTTGTGCTTTGAGCCTGAGTAGCATGGGTATCATTCAGCAAGACTGCTTTTCTTCCCTTTTCTTTAGTTGAAGTATATTTTTAGGGTAAATTGTTTTTGCACCGTCGATTGTATATTCCCCAAAGTGGCTTTCATTTAAACCCCGGTTTTCTTCCCATCTACACATCCCCAACTTTTTGATTGTCCTTTCTCCAGCACTTCCTTTGAAGGGCTACCAATACTGCAAAATCACTGTTTTCCAGCAACCTGCTCCCAAAAGTGCATCCCCAATCAGAGTTTTAGTTCTAGCAGAGAGGAGCATATCCCTTTCAAGACATGTGTGCTGCAAGTGCCCACCCACCAGCTCAGGTAGGAAGCAGAGATTTATTGGATCGGTCACCTTAAACCCCACAAAAATGTATTTATTTTCAAAAATTTGATTTGTATATGCACAATGTTTTTGGGCTACCCAGGCCTATGTACTCATACAGTGATATATTTAATGGTGCTGATGACACCAGGACAGGGGCTTCAGTCAGTCATAATCAGGAAACAAAAGGACGGAGTTTTTACTTAATTAAGGAAAATTAAAGACCTCTGAAAAATTATATAGAGTAAACCAAGGTCTGATTTTATAAATATTGTTAGAGGCATACATGAGTTTTCAGAAAGTATCTGCCTAAAGTGTATTTTTTTACGTTATTACACCCCAAATAAGCCATCACAGCTTGTAAAAAGCAGTCTGCCTTGCAGTTCTCAGATGAAAAATAGTATATTTACATTAGCAAGCAACACTCTGGGTGTAAATTCAGTCAAGAATAAAATGCTGTTACGTGCAAACAACTCCCTAGCTGGTGCAAGGGTAATGGAGCATACAGTATACATATCTACAAATAGCTAAGAGTCAGAGGAGATCTGTGCATTTCAGCAAATCTTAGATAATATTGCTTTATCACATATGATAAGATGCTATTTTTGTACTGAATTATATTGCATTTTTTTCATATATGCATTCATATTAAACC